CCAATTTATTCTCCTGATGAATTTATTATTAAACAATAAGATAAGAAAGAAATTAAAAAGAAAAATCCCTTAACTAAATAATTAAATATTATTTTTTCTTTTTAATACTAAATTAGAAAGAAAGTTTTTAATTGAATTTATACAAAAAAAATAAAAATTATCTCTAGAGAATAAAATTCAATATTAAATAAATTTAATATTTAATCTATAAAAAAGCTGAGAATATTTTTAAGAATATTTTTATTAAAAATTTTTTTATATTAAGTTTACTATTTTATTTTATTTTATTTAAATTAAAAAAGAAATTAATTTAAAATTAAAACTATAAATATATTTTATGTTAAAAGATTATTAAATGCTATATTATTATAAAATAAAATTTTATAAATGTATAAATTGATTACTATTTATTAATTAGATTAATAAAATAGTAAAATTTCAATTTTAACTAGATATATATCATAGTTATTAATTGAATACATTTTAAATAAAAAATATTAATAATAATAGTAATTTAACTTGCTTTTATTCTCAGTTATACTTAGCTAATTATAATCTTTAGTCTGTAATTGTTAGAGTGTAAATGCAATCTATAAAAAAAACTCTCTGTATTACTAATCACTATATAATAGAATACTAAGCTTAATGAGATGAATGAAGGTGCTGAGACATGCTTAGATTATAATAACTTATATAATCACATGATCATATGATGAGGGTTAGATCTAATTGAAGTACTGAGTTTAATCTGATATTTAGTCTAATCAGACACTGGGTCTCAGTCAAACTTAGTCAAATACTAAATTTAATATAACTCTCTGATTTAGAAACAAACATGTTTTTATGCTGATACATTATCATTAATTTTACTCTTTAGATAACTATCTGTTTTCTATATCTTCAATTATTTATCTAGTTATTTTAAGGATTTAACTTTTGTAGAATTAGTCTCATAAAAATCATATATTATATATAATGATTCTTGGAAGTCATGAGCTGGGTATCAAAATAAATTCTCATCAAATCTTTTTCAGTGAACTTGATATTGTAATTTATTTTAATTTATTTAACTAATTAATATATATTTTATTTTTATTTATTTTTTTCATCTATTTTAATTGAATCTGATGATTTAATAGTCAGTTCTGATAGAGAATTTCTTGAATTCTTGCATAGTTTATCTGAGAAGAAGATTGAATAAATTCTCATAATTATAAAAAGATTCAATCTATCAAGATTATTTATTCTCATTAGAATTTCGTATAGATCTATATTCTATGCTATTAGCTTATAGCTTAATTAATCAATTTTATATAATTTCAATATCAAATAGATAAAATCTTTTACTATAAAGTCAGATTCTCAGTAATATCTATTAGTCTATTTTTTTATCTGTTTTTATGCTATCTTTATACTTTTATTTATCTACTTTTAAATCTCTTTTATTTAATTAATAAAGCTTTCAGCAGCTCTTTAATTTGTTTTATTTTTTACATTTAATTCTCTTAATAGAGCTTTTCAGTCAAAAGATTTTATAATTTATATTCATTTATAGCTAGAAAGAGAAAGACCAGAATAAGCTAGGCCCAAAGCGGTAACGTCGGGCGAGGCGGTCATAGTGA